TACTTTATTCGAAGGAAAAATAAAGAAAACCCTTTTTCTTTATAAAAAGCAGTTTTTTCATTATGAGAATTTTTAAAAATAGCATTCTTTCAACGAGAAATTACATGAAATCTACTGTTTTTCCCAATAGTTGTAAATTATTGTACAATGTGTCATTTTTTAGTTATCTGATTTTTAATACAAAGGGTTCCCTTGTATAAGATGGAAAAAAGTTCCTCTAAAGCAAATGTATGAGTAGTTATACTAAACTTATCATAAATATAATATTTTTGAAAGGTTTCTTAGCCCCCGTCCCACCAACCATACCTTCCTACAGCCAAAAACGTTTTTTTTTAATTTTAATTTTTTCGTCAACCTAACACTATTTTATTTTATTGAAAAAAATGTAAAATAAGAAAATAGTTTGTACTATCAGAAAAACATGTTATGATATTAAAGACACAAAATGTTATGATTATTTAGATTATTTCAAATGCTGGGCTGTAGTTAAATAAAAAAACATTTCTACCATCTTTCAAATCACCTCAACTTTAAAAAGACTTTGAAAATGACTGCAACAGGTATGTGCATTAATTTCAGTGTTAATTAAAATCAGATGGAACAAAATAAAAACAACTGAAGAGTGATCTAAAAAGCCGACCCCAGTTAGCTGGGATAAGGTTTAGAAGAAGAAAAAGTAGAAGAAGAAGAAGAAGAAGAAGAAGAAGTAGAAGAAGAAGAAGAAGAAGAAGAAGAAGAAGAAGAATAGGAGGAGGAGGAGAAGGAGGAGGAGGAAGATGGAGATTGCCAGTTTTCTGTATTATCTAAATATCACCGCAGCTAATAATAACATCTTACTAAAATATAAATATTAAATTTGCGGTTTAGTATTTTAATGAAAAAATTCAAAAGAAGTCAAACATTTTCACCCAATTATTAAAAAAATAAGTAAGGTGATAGAAATTCAAGTCGTGCTATACTTTTTAAAAACAACTGAAGGCGAAATTGAACGAGGAATTAAAACATGCATTGGAGATAAAAAGAGACAACGTATGTAGAATACACTGCAACGATTCAGACTAATAAAGATTTAAGACATTTTATGTTATGGATTTAAATCTCACTTACGTTTTAAAAATTAGATTTTTTCAATAGCAATTTTATGAAACTCGAGAGAACACACAGGGAGAAGGAACGTACACACAGACAGATAGTCAGACGTTTTGCCATCAATTGATTTTTGTGTACAAGGATTCGAAAATACGACTCTGACTACACAATGCGTTAGAGGATGTAATTTACTCCATGAAGAGGAACAACATTTATCCACTTATTCGTGACATTTGGTTTTTCTGTTGAAATATCACTGATTTCCGTGACACAATTACAATACTTTCTCTTTACTGTTTAAGTAATAAGTCGAGAAAGTAAAAAAAAAATGGAAAACGCCTCATTTTTGTTTAAATCTCTGAATTTTCCAAAATTGCAAATGTTCAATTGTTTTTCTGTCTCGTCCTATAACTACAATGTTGAAGATTTTTCTTCTTAATAAAATATGTTGTCCAAAGATTTGTTCTTTACATAGGGTCAAGTACAATTGTTTGAAAATATGAGTAGTTTTGGTGTAGTTTTGCGTGAAATATAGGTAACTTTTGTACAATTATTTTCTCTAAAAGGGCTTCAGATTTTTTCTTTAAATTTTTCCTCGGGTTGAAGATTTTATACATTATTGCATTTGTGAGTTTAGGTGCTTTAATTGATTCCTAATGAAGTTTAAAGAAAACTCAAAGTTATCTGTGAAAAGGATTTAAAAGTTGAGCATTTTCAAGTACGGTAAAACGACATTTTCTCAGAAACGACAATTTTTCCAATGAAAATTTGCGTATTAGACAAGTTTTACTATTCTATAATATTATAAAAATCGCATTTTCATTCTACTATTAATACACCAAAAAATCGAAAAAATTCGAAATGTATTTTAGGTGACGATAGCTAGCAGCTGGGATGGCAAGACAAAACCGAACAGCTAGCTCAAACTAAAGAGATTAAGAAACTAACTGGTGCGACAAACTCTGTGTATATGCCCCATAATATACATGTTCCTTAAATATTTTTTTCAATTATTGCCAGATATTTGCAAAAATTCACTCTTTTTGAAATTGCTCTGCAATTACCTCTTGTTTAGAAGTGGCACAAATACAATAAACATACTTAAATGCCGGAACCAATGAAATACTTTAAAGTATTTACAATAAATTATTATACTATATAAATTACAGAATATATTCTGCAGAATTTTACACGCCTCAACTCTAGAGAGTCCCACATATAAAGCCAGCGTAAATTATATTTATAATGAACAATTGAGACAAATTGACGATAGCTGTTTTTGTAATGGAAAAACACCTTTAAAAGACACCAATCTTTATGGCACTTCGATACCCATCAAGTAAAAAAAACGACATCCCCTTCCATCTCGGTACTGCTTGAGGGCATTTCTTCATGACAGTGCTGTCATATAATTAAATGTCCAGTCTTTGCCTTCTTTCTTTCTCCTGCATAATTTCTTTTGCCAATTTTTGGACGCTTTTCCAAGTCTTTGGCGATTGGAGCATCGTACCTATAGGATTTTCCCCTTTGGGTGTTTTGACCAATTGCGTATAAGCGTCTCTTCTTGGTCTTTCCCAGAGCGGGCAGTGCAAAAACGTATGTTCAGCTGTGTCAGTTTGCTCGCAGTAGATGCATTGCTCGTCTTTGTATTTTCCTGTTTTGTCGCATAATGGGTGGCTCGTCCACGTCCTGTCAGTATTTGAGTCACAAAGTACTCTAATTTCTTGTGCTTGCATTTAAACCACTTCTCAATGTTCGATCCATTGGCCCACGAACTCTGTTGCATTCGATCTTTCTTGCCAGTCATGAAGGACTACTTCTCGAATAATAGTTTTTTTTTCTTTTAGGTCATTTTTGACGCTTCATTCGCGTATATTTTTCCTTTCTTTAAATTGCAGGTCAAATGGTATTGCTTTTGCGAGGAGTTGCAGAGCTGCTGTAGATGCGGTTCTGTACCCGTCAGTTATTTTTAGCAGCATTTTCCTCTGTTCGTTTTCTAGTTCTGCTCTCAAATTTTCCCTCTGTAGTGGATTGGACCATGCGATTGCTGTAAAATGGGATTTGTAAGTCCAAATACATGGTCTCTTTTCCTTACCTTCCTCATTTCCATGACAAATAAGTAAATCTATATCCTAAAATAAAGAAAACTTCTATATGCAACACGTGCCCTTCCACGCTATTGCATTTTGTACATTCGATGGGGATCCAACAAATAAATGTAACTTTTTAATCATTGTAGAATACAAATACTGAATTCTTAGCCTGACATTTAATACATTATTAAGGTCCTCAGCAAAATAACACTAGGTAACCATTTTTAACTTGGGGGGTATCTGTTCTGTATGTATGGTTTATTTTGCCCTGAAATGATGGAAATTCAGTGGCACAATTTTCCTTATTGGTTTTGCAATCAGACATTGTCGCACATTAATAGTCACTTAAATGTTGGTAACGTTGAATAAATAATAACCTACACAACAGATGAGTGCCTGACGCACTACAAAATATTGTGTTTAGGGAATAAATGAGAGGTGCATCATCTCTTCTATTCTGTTACGTCACATTTCTGTTACGTCTGTTATGTCACGTCTATTCTGTTTCCATTAAGAAAGTATGTGAAACTAAATATTACGCAGGTAAAAATTCTAATTAAACAACGACCGTCTCCCCGAAATTTCCAGTCTATTGTCCACCACTTATTTTATCCCTTATCAATGTGTTTTGTTTCGTTCTTGTTTTTCTTGAATGCTTAAAAATACTCCAAGTTGAAAACTTTGCCCTTCCCGTAGGCTCCTTTATTATTTTTTTTCTTCTTATGACGAAAGGTTCAAAGCTTCCCAAAGCTGTTGTATTAACAAAAATACCTCTTTACCCTACTTCTGGTTTCTACAGAGACATATGTAGTTATTTGAACACATGGTGGATAGCATATGAGTCAGTCTAATAAGAAAAGTTATTTGAGTTTAGGCGGATAGAGTTGCAATTTTTTTCTGGAAAGTTTTAGTTATCTTACACAGAATATAAACTGTTTTAGTTTTAAATTCTACATTAAACACTACATTTTGATATACACCACTACAATACTCGTCAAAAGGATAACCTACATGTGCCCCGCTCTGAAACTGAACTTTACCCAAAAAGCACCTTAATAGAGGGCATTACACTTTACAACAAACTGGGCCATGATATTAAAGACATAAACACAATACATACATTTAAAAGTAAATTGAAAGCTTGCCTGCTTAACAACATGTTTTAAAGTGTGAAGGAATATACAAATCACAACACTACGTCCCTTAAAAAATAAAAATAAATAAAAAATCTTATCCCATTTAACTTTGTATTTCATATAAACTGTTTCGAGCCGATGCAAAGAAAAACGAACTGGCATAACCCCTCCTGTCTATGTTAAATTTGCTATATGTCTGCCGATTTAACTGCATTTATTTCCAGAACATTACACCGTATTTGTCAAACATCCTCATTTTATACAAAATTTACAGTTCTGGAAACATTACTGGGCTACACAAGCTTCCTTGTTTGTTTTGTTTATATGTAATGACTTTAAAAAGGCATAACTCTGCATACCAACTAATCACGTTGTCCCTACCTTCTTTTGTTTTCATTCATTTTGCCTGCGGCGCTAACCCGTCAAAGAAAGATAGACTTTTGCACCCGCTCCCGTTTATTACCACGGTATCAAATCTTCCTATGAGATATTAAATTTTGTTACGACGATAAGTTTTAAGAAACTAACCACTATCATCGAAGATGGTATTCATTCCATCTCGCCAGAGGTCTTATCTCGTGGAGCGTGACCAGGGGAGGCTGTTCTATTGGCTCGCCTGCCAGTGCGCCCTGCCACGACCCTTCGTGGTGCTCCGCGAGGGACAGTCGAGCAGTCTAGCGCCGTCGGCTGGGCGTGGAGAGGCAAAATGGCGGAGAGCAGATTAACGCAGCACGCGTCTGTGAAGCGGAAGGTCTTCCAGTGGCTCTTAAAAATCTTCAAGGATGATGCATTGGATGGACTCGTCCAGGTGAATAGAAAGTTTCGTTTTAAACTTGAATGAACTGTGGTAAGGAAGAGATGACGACGTTCAACGTGTTTTTCCGCGGACAACGACTGTCTTCAGGTCCAACGTGGGAGTTAATCTGCCATGCGGTAGATCTAATGACAGATGGCGTGTCCAAAGTCGAATATTTGAGTGGAATAGATAGCAAAGATACCAACTTAGGTCTACAATATCACTTTACCAATATACTTATATTATAAAACTATTGGTAAACCTTATGACTTTGCAATAAGTGATTTTTCTTGAATTGTTTGCAGTGCATAATGAATAATTCGTCCGAATCTTTATGCAAATTTTTAAAAATATGGTAAACTCTACCAGAAATAGTCTAATTCTAACTTTCTAAGATTGGCGTAGTTAAAAATATTGTAGTAATGCCTTCGCTTAATTGCGCAGCATGTGCTAAACTGCAAAACTTCTAAACCGCAATTCATTTCTTCAACTGATTTGAATTGGATGCGTGGCGTGAAGGTACCTTTTCAAGTAACAAAGAAGTAACAAAGAAAGTCCGACAAGAACTGGGAAGTTCACTATTCCACTAAAGCAAATTCTATTAGGTGCATAGTGCAACTGTTAATGAACGTTATACTTCTAATATTCCGCTTTTATTTTTTTTAATTAAGTTTTCCTATGTACATTCTACGATCACTTTTCGGTCGCTAGTTAAGAAAACGGGGACGTTATCTAGACAATAAAGTCAAGGTTTATCAAAGTTAAGGAATAAAATTATGGCGTGCGGCGTTTACACGCTAACATTCTGATTTATCTAAGACTTTAAATAAATCAAACATTGACACGAAAGACGCTAAACTGTAAAATTTCAATATATTACATTGTGCTAAAGAATGCAAGTTAGATTTGCTTTGAGATAATGTAACTTTAAATTCACAAATTAAAAGTAATTTCAATGTCGCTTAATCTATTGTAGAATTTTCCGGGGTCCAAATTGTGTTACGGCTAATTTCGTGGAGTATGTGTTAACGATAATTTAACGTACTTTCAACGAAGTTATCAGAGGGCATGTTTAAGTAGGTCTCTCCACTGAAACAAAGTACGAACGTACGAAATTAAGCCATAGTCACGAAATTAAATCCGAAGTTCAACCTCACAATAGTTTCGATAGGTGCGTCTGTCTTTCTTCGCTATTCTCTGAACCTGTGACCTCGGGGTGTGGCTATGGTACAAGACCCTGACAAAAGCGCATTTAACAAAGAAGTTTTATTCTAACTTTTGGGTTCAGGTAATTGGTTTTCCATCTGTTCTGAATAATTTGATAATTTGAATTCTAATTTAAAATAGACTATCTAGGAATTTTCAAAGTGAACTAGTCGCTCAAAATTTACTTCACCTGCTTGGTAGGTAAGATAGTTTTTCAGCCTTTCATAGTTCAGTTTATAATATCGACTGTGCACAAAAATGACATCTCAAAACCTTATTTTTGCAGGAACAGTGTTTGAATTTGAACGGAGAAGCTTTTATTTCGTGGCCAATGGCAGGGTTTTTCTATTTGCCGGCCTTATAAAAATCTTACGAAATTCTTACTAGTAAAACTGTCAAAACCACTTCACTAAACTGTAACAAATTTAGTGGTGCAGAGCTTTCCTTGTACATTGGCAATATAATTCAAAAATATTTTTAAAAAAATATTTAATTTCGAAGAGCGTTTCATTAGTTTTCAAATTTAAAGATATTCGTGGAAATCCTAATGTATACTGAATAATTGGAAGAACTATTGAGGTAATTCACATTGCAGCAAAACCAAGTTTGCTGCCATTTTGATTTTTACATTTATTGCAACAGTTTCGAAAAAAAATTCTTTCAAGTTCAGTACAGTAAATAGTTGCAATGAAATATTTTCGAATGTCTATAAATGCATTTTTTAAATATCAAATTTACATATATATATTAAAGGTCGAATGAACTTGTAGGTCATTAGCGACCACTATTGCTTGTAACGGTATGGTAACTGTGAGGGTGACACGATGTGATGATGATTGAGGGTGAAAGAACATCCACCTTACCCGAGGCGGGACTCGAACTCGCGATCCTTCGGTCAGAGGTCGCTACGGCATTACTGCCCTAGCGATCTCGGCCACCGGATCGGCATTTTATAAATTAGTGGACTTAAATTTTTAAATGTTGACACCTTATTTGTGGAATAAAAAATTGGTATTTCGATAATTAAAAAAAAAATGTATGCATTTGAGCATTAAGAAAAATGAATTTTAACCATGGGACTGTATTGAACCTGAAGTGGTAAAACGTAAATTTTGCGAAACCTTATAAAACTGTAATGTGGCGATAACTCCCAAATTGTTTTCAATTAAAATAATTAATACGGTTCCACTGCTGAAGTGGTGATTTGTGCTCCTACCTTTGTCATCGGGGGCGGCGCAGGGGCTGGACGCAGTCCCGGACGTGGGCGACCTCGTGGAGCTGCTGCGGGGCGCGGGCTACCGACTGAGCGCCGTGGACATGGGCGCGAACTCTTCCATGGTGTCCGCCAACGCGTCGACCTCCGCGTCCGCGCCGCCCGCCGCGCCGGGCTGCCTCATCACCATCAAGTGCCCGCGCTCGGGGCTCGGCGTCACCATGGAGTCGGCCGGCGCCGCCGAGTGCCGCTGCCCCGACACGCCCGCAGAGGACCACAGCGCGTCCACCTGGAGCGTCGTCTCCAGCCAGGTGGGGATTGATTGATTGATTAGGGATTCGGGTGCGTCAATGAGGATTAATCCAACGGGAGCGTAGTTTCCAGCGAAATGGGATTGATTTGATTGGCGATTCCGGGCGCGTCAACTTTATCATTAGTGCACCTGGAGCCTAGTCACCAGCCAGGTTGATTGGTTAGTGATTCAGCTATGGTCGTTGGGAGTCATCCGTAAATAACGTAACTCCAAAGGTGGGGAGAGGAGAAATTGACGCAACGTTACGCTGCCTTGGAAAGGGGCAGGGGGTATTATAATAGTGTTACGTAAAATTGAATTTTTTTACATTTTTAACTTTTGATTTTTGTCGTACTAAAACATTAAATTTTATCTAAATTTTAAAACATTAATAATTTAAAGTTGTTGCTACAATCAACGGATATGGATAAATATTTTTTTCATAAATTTTTCATTTTATATTGAGTCTGCAGGATTACGAAGAAAATATTCAAAACTAATCTGTAGTATTTTGAAGGATGCAATTAAATTGGCGCAGTAGACCTGTGCGCCCGACAACGGCCTTGCGCCATCCACGACGACGAAGTGTGGACGACTTGTGATCAGAAATGTTCTCGGCTGTGCGTCCGTCCTTGACTCAAAATTTGCCCCCAATCTTGTTAGGTGCAATCAGCATCGACAATTCACTTTAATAATCATGCATTTTAATACAGAACACAAAATAAATACAATTTAGCTAATATTTATTTACATTTTTGTGTTTATAATGGGGGTTGTCGCATGCGTTACGTAATTATTTAGGGGAGTTAAATCGCGCGTTGAGTTCGTTATAGGGGGGGGGGAGAGGTGGTATTCAAAATACACCAAATTTGTGTTACGTATTTTATGGACGACGCCTTAGTCTACCTGGAGCGTAATCACCAGCCATGTATGGATGGATTGATAGTTTCATTGATGGATGAATCCGGGCCCGTCAAATATGGACATTGGTCCTCGTAGACTCGTCTCCATCCGTGTGGAATTGTCGCATCAACTACTATGGTCAAGAGTCTGGTAGTGTAATGAGGAAATCGTGGAGCTGAAACATCGATGTCTCGCTCGAGGGTGGAGTGGATACGCGAGTGGGTGATGTGGATTTAGCGTGAACTGTCGGTCCAATTGCAGTCTTGCCAATCTCTTAAATTTCTAAGTTTACACGTATTTTTAACTTCTGCGTTCATGGAAGGTCAGCCGGAAAAGTAATTAGCTTGTGGGGTAAAACTCTCAGCGCAACGTAATATTAAGCCTCTGCAGAGAGTCCCAATCAATAGTTCAGGATGGCCCATCGCGTTACTCTTGCAAACTCGCGTGTGTAGTATTTATTGATTAATAGCATCCGGTCGTTTAGTTCTTAGTTGGTCATCCGCTAAGAATGTTATCTCGGGCCGTGGTGGCGTTCTTTTCTAGCTGGAACGGAAGATCCAGCGCAGACCCACACGGCGGCTTGGGACGTTTCGGTACAGGTAACTCCCCGAGCGGGGCACCGCTCTAGTCACGGCAAGCTCCAAGGTAACGATACATGCTGAGAATATTTTAAAAAAAATAAATCTCAACAGAGGTGTTAAATGAAATTGCCTCTATGACCAATCCAAGCCTAGTGGCCAGTGTGCAATATTAGGGTTCTAGCTGATAACCTACTAGATTTTCTGACGAATAGAGAAACTTTTATCGTATTCTACAGTGCATTCGTTGCCCTAACTAATAAATCCAAGCTTGCGAAACTACCAGCTGTTAGTCATCTTCATCAATGCCCACGCCGAGAGAACAGATTTCAACAGCAATCAGATCTCGCTGGTTGCAACAATAAAACTAAAGATGTGATGTAATAAAATATATTACAATATGTAATTAGATGTAATATTAGAATAGAAATGTGGTCTAAATTTGAAGGAGTAACTTGTAGGTCAGCCAACTTGTAAATATGAATGGCTCTCCGAGGCAGTGCGTTGAAGAGCCATTGATTTGCTAAGCGTTCTGTTTTGACTTGTTAAACGCGGCCGGGCCTTTGCGCCGCAGGAGACCTCGTCGGCCGTGGGCAGCTCGCTGCTGCCGCCAGTGCCGGGCGACGTGTCGGACGTGGTGGCGTCGACGGTGCGGTGCGCGGTGCGCATCCTGCGCGAGTGGCCGTCGGCGCGGGCGCCTCCGCCGCTGGGGGGCGGGGTCGCTGCCGCTGCCGCTGCGGGCGCCCTGCCGCTCGCCACGCCGCGCCGGCCCGCGCCGCCGCCCCCGCCCCCGCCGCGCCGACCCGTGAGCGCAGAGGGCGTCCCGCACTACGACGCCTCCGCCACCTCCGCCGGTAATGCACGCTTTCTTAGCTTAGGATGATAAACCCAGGCAGTGAAGGCGGAAGTGCCGTGGCGATCTCGGGCTGAAGGATCTGGGGTTAGTCCCGCCTCGGGCATGTTTGGATTTGTATTAGTTCTTTCACACCTTCCCATCACTCGCATCATATTGTTAACAATATCGTTAATATTGTGGTCGCAAATGACGTAGCTGTTAGTGTCACCTTAAATTTTTTAAAAAAATTAAACTAAAATTAATAGCAAAAGAAGAGGAGCCCCCGCCTCCCCGGCCCGTGAGCGCCGAGGGCGTCCCGCACTACGCCGCCTCCGCTGGTAATGCATGCTTTCTTAGCTTAGGATGATAAACCAAGGCGGCCGGATGGCCGAGATCGTGAAGGCGGAAGTGCCGTGGCGATCTCGGGCTGAAGGATCGCGGGTTAGTTCCTCCTCGGGCATGGTTGGATTTGTATTCGTCCTTTCACACCTTCCCATCACTCACATCATATTGTTAACAATATCGTTAATATTGTGGTCGCAAATGACGTAGCTGTTAATGCGACCTTAAATTTTAAAAAAATTAAATTAAAATACATAGCAAGAGCAGGGGGAGGGTAAAAATTGTCCGCGGATTGGATAGTAAGCCCTCATTAACGCGAATTTCAAGGGATTGCAATAATCGGAGTGCACGTTGTCAAAATTCGTGTTATCCGATTATTGTAAAGGACCGTGTTACTGAAATCTCTTGTCGCGGCCAAGTTTCGTTCGTATAGTAAAAATTCGTGTTAAGAGTTCGTGCTAACGAGGGTTTACCATATTTCATTCTAGCGCTATATGCGGCAGTGGAAATACGTTAAAAAACGGTTCTGTGCTAATTTTAAAGTTATTTCCAGTTAATAAGCATTTATAAAAGTTATAAAGTTATCGTAAACTAATTTTCTTGAAATTTTATGAAGTTGCAAGTTTGCTTAACCACTTTCCCTTCTCAAAAGCATATTGTACAGATTATTTTCGCTGGATATGCGTTTTAAATATGCTTGCATATCTCGCAAAAAAATGTTTTTGTCGTGTGTTACTGAAACTCATTTTTTTATTCGGAGGCCCTTTAGCCTTTCTACACAAAATTTAATTGCGCATTATAATTAGGCACTTCGATGGGAAAGGAGTAAAATGTAAGAGGCTACACGAAATGGTAATAAACATGAACAAATAGATTATGAAAAAAAGGAAACTGGACAAGTTTTTCCCTTATCTATCTTTACAGGGTTAAGCCGCATACCAATGGGGAGGGTCAGTGACGTATCTCAGCGCAGGTTTTATGCTCTACCTTTGTAAGAATTTGTTTCATGGCACAAGTCTTCTATTATTAGCCTTTTTAATGCTCGGATATTCCAAAACAATACGGAACCATCACCATTCGCAAATTTCATACAGCTAGGCCTTCCAATGCTTTGCAACCTCAATTTAGTACCTGTCGACACAAAAGTTTTTGATTCAGCAAAACGGTAGTTTGTACGTTCATTCATACCTTTGCTAAAGAGGTGAGAATTTCAGGAGCTCGAAAAAAAAAAGAGCGACGATTATAAAACTTATAAGTTCACTTAAACAATTCAGTTACGTACGTTTTAAGTGAAATAACTCCTAAGTAGAGATGGAGTTTATTGACCTAAAACATCTTCAAAAATTAATACAATTTTCTTAATGTTTTAAAAATGCCCTAAAAACAAAAAAAATGACGTCAATGTGATTAACACAAATTCGGATGAACAACTCAAGCTGTTGGATAAGTTACTGATGTAATGGTCTGCTCCTCTTTGTTAAACTGAACTCGGCTTGTAAACTTTAGGCTTGTGCCGCTCTTATCAGAAAATCCCGAAATAGACTGAACGGAGAATGGCGCTAATATTCACAGAAACCTTCGGATAACTCACAATGGTTGACATTACAACTTCTGAGTGAAGAAATCGATTCTGTGGAGATGTTGCATCTCGTAAATGAAATCGGCTAAGATTGTAAAAAGTTGAGATAAAAGGTAAAAAATCTTAGTCAAAATGGATGAAAAATGCAAAAAAGACGAGTAAAAGTAATTTCCTTTTGTCATATCATAAAATGTATTTCTGTACTAAACGGAATTTTTCTAGAGTGAAAAGGGGGGAAAACGCGAATTTCGTTAGACTCCGCCCCTACTGGGAAGATATCCTTCCGCAGGCGTCGGCGTCGGCGGGCGCCTGGGCGAGCGCCGGCCGCACTTCCTGTCCCTGGACGCGGCGCAGTG